CCAGGGACGTGCAGGTTAGGGTGGATTGGCCATGGGAAATACAGGGTTACAGGGTTACAGGGTTACAGGGTTACAGGGTTAGGGTGGAGGGGGTGGGTCTGGGTGGGATTTCTTCAGAGGGTTGATGAGGCCTTGATGGGCCAAATGGCTTTCTTCCACACTGTAGGGATTCTATGATTCCAAAAGACAAAGCAAGAACATGTAAAAACGTAGATGTCAAGAGTCCACAATTTACTCGAAGTTACACAATCAATTGGAAACATGTAAACACAACACAGTTGCAAACCAGATCAATGCTGAGGCATCACACACCATTCAGGCTCTTGATATTTTCCGATCAACTTGTACAAAGGTGTTAGGACATACCTATGGAGGCTGAGAGACTCGAACCTGGCTGTCCTAGTTCAGAGGTGGGGACACTACCACTCCTTCATAAGAGCCTTTACCCAATCCAATCGCTATCCGAGTGGGTGGTTTGCTCACTCTACCCAATTTTCTGTTCAGATGTTTCTCAATCTTCTCCCTAGAAAGCCTGTGCATTTGAAACATTCTGAATTTTACTGTCCACTGACAAGTTTAATCGCAGGACACAACTCAGTCGGTTTTGGTTAATTTCTAACTTCATCCAACCCTGCCACAACAAAAAAAAATCAGAAATATCACCACAGTTTGAAAATATTAAACGCTAAATTCCCAACACAAGACAGAGTATCGTCTTTCTAGTCCATGAATTTGCACATTAGTGATTATGCCCAAATGTGCCTGAGTGTCCCTGGCCCCATAATATAACACAAGGGATTCCCCTAAGTGTCTCTACACGTACCTGCTTCTAAAGCATCTCATCGCGTCCTCGCACTTTCCAATGTTCTGAGAAGTTACATTCACTTAATTAACTGCTGAGTATCATAGAATCCCTATAATGTGGAAACAAGCCATTCAGCCCATCAAGTCCACACCAATCCTCCAAACAGCATCCCACACAGATCCAACCCCTTATCCTATACTGTAACCCTGAATGTCCCATGGTTAATCCACATAGCCTACATACCCCTGGACACTATGGGCAATTTGGCATTGCCAATCCACCTAAACTACACTTTTTCAGATTGTGGGAGGAAAGGTCCCTGGTTCATGCCTGGGTTTCGGCAAAATAAGTGCTCGCTGATTGGGTCAGTCTTTGTTTAGCTGTGATGGAGGAGTGTGAAATGCTCCTTCTGCACCTCACTTTGGGTGATACAGCAGGTCAGTGGTTAGCACTGCTGCTTCACAGCGCCAGGGACCCAGGTTCAATTCCACCCCCGTGTCTGCGTGGGTTTCCTCTAGGTGCTCCAGTTTCCTCCCACAGTCCAAAGATGTGCAGGCTAGGTGGATTGGCCATGCTAAATTGCCCGTAATGTTCAGGGATTTGTACATTAGGTGGATTATAGGAGGATGGGTTTGGGTGGGTACTCTGAGGGTCAGTGTGGACTTGTTGGGCCAAAGGGCCTGTTTCCACACTGTAGGGATTCTATGAAACCAGAGAAAACCCACGCAGACACGGGGAGAAAGTGCAAACTCCACGTGAGGCTGGAATCAAAACCAGTTCCCTGTTCCATCCCCACCCCTCCCACCATCAATCACCACACTTCCTAATTCCAGGCTCTAGGTGGATGCTAAACTGTTGTAAATTGATGGATGCAGACACCAAAATCCCTCTATACTGCAGTTTCTCTCTACAAACAATATTCTGTTCTTGAACACTCTCACTTACAATCCCCTTCCCCCTCCAAATATTCCACCTGCCAACTTTTTGACCATTCACGGACTTTTTAATATCCTCCTCCAAACTGATTTGGTTTGGAGTAAAACCCAGAATTTGCTGGGGAAACTCATCAGATCTGGCCGCATCTGTGGGGAGAAAGGACTCGAAACATGAATTCTTTCTTCCCACAGATGCTGCGAGATCTGCTGAGTTTCGCTAGCGATTAGTGTTTTTGTTTGCTCTCCTACAATGGTGTCATCAGCAAATTTGGCTACAATTCATACAGCATGGAAACAGACCCTTCGATCCAACCGGTCCATGCCGAACATAATCCCAAACTAAACTGGTCCCACCTGCCTGCTCCTGGCCCATATCCTCCAAACATTTCCTATTCATGTACTTATCCAAGAGTCTTTTAAACATTATAACTGTGCCCACATCCACAACTTCCTCAGGAAGTTCATTCCACACATTCCTCTGTAAAAAAAATGTCCCTCATGTCGTTTTTTTAAAATCTATCGCTCCTGTCCTCTTAAGTGTGTCCCCAGTCTTGAACTCCCTCACCCTAGGGAAAAGACACCTACTATTAACCTTATCCATACCCCTCATGATTTTATAAACCTCAGTAAGGTCACCTCTCAAACTCTAACATATTCCTTGTTGCAGCTCTATAACACCCTGGTTAGACCACACTTGGAATATTGAGTTCAGTTCTGGTTGTCTCATTATAGGAAAGATGTGGAAGCTTTAGAGAGGGTGCAGAGGAGATTTACCAGGATGCTGCTTGGGCTGGAGGGCAGGTCTTATGAGGAAAGGTTGAGGGAGCTAGGGCTTTTTACATTGGAGCGAAGAAGGATGAGAGGTGACTTGATAGAGGTGTACAAGATGATGAGAGGCATAGATACAGTGGATGGTCAGAGACATTTTCCCAGGGCGGAAATGACTTTTACGAGGGGGCATAATTTTAAGGTGATTGGAGGAAGGTATAGGGGAGACGTCAGAGGTAGGTATTTTACACAGAGTGGTGGGTGCGTGGAATGCGCTGCCGGCAGCGATAGTAGAGTCAGATACTTTAGAGGCTTTTAAGCAACTCTTGGATAGGCACATGGAAGACAGTAAAATGTAGGGTATGCAGGGTAGATTGATCTTAGTAGAATAGGTCAGCACAACATGGTGGGCCGAAGGACCTGTACTGTGCTGTACTGTTCTACGTTCTATGAAAGAAGTCCCAGCCTCTCCTTGTAACTCAAACCCTCCATACCTGGCAATATCCCAGTAAATCTCTTCTGAACCAGCTTAATAATATCCTGCCTATAATTGGGCGACCAGAACTGGACACAGTACTCCAGAAGAGGCTCACCAATGTCCTGTACAACCGCAACATAACCGCCCAACTCCTATACTCAAAGGTCTGAGCAATGATGGTAAGTGCGCTATGCCTTCTTAACTACCCTGTCTATGTGTGACATCATTAAAATCAGTCAGAAATAACAGGCCCTAATGCTGATCTCTGAGGTGCTTCACTAGATAGTTTCCAACTTTATAATAGACCATTTATCCAGTTTCCCTGTTTCAAGTTATTTAGCTAATTCTCTATCCATGTTAATAATAACTCCACCTCCCTCCCAACCTCCAATTCAATGAGCTCCAATCTTCTGTTGTAACCGTTCATGTGTCACCTTATCAAATGTCTTCTGGAAAATTCAAATACACATCTACTGCTGCCCCATCTGCAGCTTTCCAATCCACTGGGACCTTTCCAGATTCTAGGAAATTTTGGAAGTACACAACTAATGTATCTCTGTAGCCACTTCTTTATGGACCTTAGGAAGCAGGCCATCAGGAGAACAATCCCAGCTGCTCCAGTGCCTCTTCAGAACCAGAATCCCTCATCCCTGGAAACATGAGTAATTTGTATCTATCTTTTCCAAAGATTTCAAGTCCTTCTTCAAACACAATCTGGCTGAATCCAGGAAACAAGAAGCAACAAAAGGGTGATGATAAGTTTATTTGCCCACACTCAGCTCATCTCCCATTATCGGTGTGAACACAAGATGGTGAATAGCAAGCTGCTCACTCCAAGTGCTAAGGTAAATAAAGCTTTATTGAGATAGAGCAATACATTAATGGTAAGGATTGGAATGGGTCTCTGCAGTGCACTCCCGAATGAAACGATACACAGCAGGAGCATTGCTGCTTTTGGAAGATGCACATGCATCGTTTCTTTGTAAAGGTCCCCAGTCCTAGCACCAGGTAATCCGATGCAACAAGGAGGTTAACACTCATCGTCTCCGAGAAGGGCGAACTTGTTCTTGCTAAGGAAGGCTCCCTTGTGCCTTTGACCAGCATCCCCACCCTCGCCTCTCTCTTCCTCTTCTTCCTCCTCCTCCTCCTCCTCCTCGTCTGCGTCATGGTCTTTCTCATCGTCCTCCTGGTCCGAGCTGGAGATCTCGTCCTCATCTTCGGAGCTCTGCTTGGTCTGCTGCCGGTGTGCCTCCTGAAGAGCTGCAATCTCTAGTGTCTCGACATGCTGCTGCCAGTCCGCTAAAAACACAGACGGAAAGACAACCAAAGTTATTCCAGCCCCTTTACTTCCTTCCTGACACGTGCTTCTCACTTGCCCATGCTCAGGCATCCTGCTGTCCACTAGAAATGTAAATACAACCATTGGTGGTCATCGAGCCTGTTGCACTTGGTTCCTTAGGATTCGGAGAACAGCTATGAAGGACTATCACACAAAGTCGTTACCCTGTCATTAATTGCAAGGGGTATGGAACATAAAAATAGGGATGTTTTGCTACAATCATGCAGGGCATTCGTAAGATTACAAGGACAACAGAGTGTACAGTTCTGCTCCTTCTTTAAGCAAGGACATAACTGCATTAGAAGCAATGCAGAGTTGGTTCAACTGACTGATTCCTGGGATGATGGGCTACCTTAACAGGGCTAGGGAGAGAAGCTGTGTCCCAAGGCATTTCTCCTATTTCTGAGCCCTTTGTTTAGGCTTTTTTTTCCCCCATTCTCACCAACTCATTTATTAACTCTGTATTGTTACATAGAATACCTTCTGTACTTCAGCTGGTGTGTGGGGTATTTGGACTCATACAGAAGCAGAATTAGATGACTGAATTATATCCATTATCAACCCTCTATTAAACTTAAATCCACAACATGAGGAAAGTATTCATTTGAGTTACTGCAGTATTCAAATTGACGTGAGACAAAAGACTTAAGTTAGCAAAAAGATTTTTCAAAGCAATTGAATTAAACTTTCACACAAAAAAAGCCATCACCTTAAACATACCTCGCACAAATTGTACAAAACTCTCAGCTATTACACACACACATGCACAAAGCTAGAACATTTTAATCAGGTAGTTACTGCCCTATATACTGCACCTCAGATTTAAATTTAACAACAGACAGTGTTGATATCAATAGCATCCACTACATGTCACCCCAAATCATAGATTGCTGAGGTATAAAACCAGCAACTGCACATTCATTTAAGGAATTCATTAACTCTATAATATCAATTGTCCCTGGCTCTCAGATAATTCAGAATTCTTATGTTGACAGGTTTAAAATTGCTCCCTATCTCCTTTCTTACCCCAGCACCCCACAGCTCCCACCTTCACTCCATCCATCTGGCAGCCTCCTCCATTCTCCCAATCCGTTGCAGCCTCTGTTCTCCTACCTCACCTGGAACGCCCCCACAATTGGCAATTCCTCTCCTCTTTTGTCGGCCTCAGTCATTTCACTGCTCCAATCCCTTGCAGCTTCCTGCAACTTGACTCCTCCACCCCCCAACCAAACCCTGTTAGCAGGCAGCCACCTCCAGACCTGTAACTCACTCATCACAGTCAGCTACTTGGCAAGATGCCCCTCCAGTCACAGGCTGGCTCTCTCCAGCGTTCGCCGCTGATGAGGTTCACTCGTGAACCTATCGGTAGCAAGTACAGGAGAGAAAGAGCCTGCGACTGGAGCTGCTCCTCTTGCTCGTATTGACTATAGAAGAGGCCATGCTGCCTGAGCCCCCCTCAGACACCGGCCTTGGCAGCTAACACACCTGCTTTCCCAGGCTTTTCTTAAGAGGAAAAGATGGACAGTATGGGCACGTATTTGTTGGGAGTTGAGAGAACGAGGCGTGATCTTACTGTATCGTAGAAAATTCTGAGGGGTCTCCACAAGGAAGGATGCCAAAGGATGTTTCGCCTTGTCTTAGAGACGAGAACTAATGGACACAGCTTAAAACAAAAGGGACCTCCCATTCAATATTGAGACAGGACAAACTTATTTCCTCCCTCTAAGAGGGTCACGAATCTGTGGAACTCTCCTCCCAGTCACTAACGGAAGGTGGAGTAACTTAATGTTTATGGCAGAGATACATCAAGTTTCTTTTTAGTCAAGAATCTACAAGTATAAGGAGTTAACATGAGTTAATGTGAAGATGGGGTTTAGGTTATAGGCAGATCAGCCACAACCTTATTAAGTGGCAGAGTAGGTATGAAGCGATTAAAGGTCTAGTCCTGCTCCTGTGTTGAAATACCAGCCAGTGAACTGCAGATCATACTGAATCAAACTGAAATCCTTATTTCCCCTGCAACTCTTCGGTCAATTACCTTCAACTTGTTTACTGACCACTCTAAATAGGAACAGTTTCTCTCTCTATCATCAAGAAAGCTCATCTTTTCGATCCAGTATCGAACGACTCAGGACAGGACGAAGGTGATAGCCTGGACTATTAATCCAGAGACCCAGATAACGTTCTGGCGATCCGGATTCGAATCCCGCCACGGCACTTGGTGGAATTTGAATTCAATAACCATCTGGAATTAAGACTCCAGACCCACAGCAATGTGGTTGAGTCTTAACTTTTAACAATTAGGGATGGGCAATAAATGCTGCCTGGTCAGTGACGCCCTTATCCCGTGAATGAATTTTAAAAAAAAGGAATTAGTATACCATGTTTAACATCATAAGCAGCTGGGAGCAGAAGTAGGCCAGTCATCTAATGGGATCATTACTGACCTAACAACGTTCAACTGCATTTTCCTAACTATCCCCAGAAGCCTAAAGTCCCTTTTTGATTAAAAATGTCTACCTTAGCCTTGAATAAACTTAGTGACCCAGTCTCAACAGCATTCTGTGGTAAAGAATTCAACAGATTCACCACCCCTGAGAGAAAAAAAACCTTCCTCATCTCAACCTTAAGTGAGTGACCCACGTGCTGAGGCTATGTCCTCTGGTCCTAGACTCTCCCTCAAGAGGAAGCAACCTCTTAGCATATAGGATCCACTTAATCCTTCTCTGGTCTGGCCCCAATACCATTATATCTTTCATCAGATAAGGGGACAGAAACTGTTCACAATGTTCCACATGTTGTCTGACTAGTGTGTTGTATAGTTTTCTGGGTCAAAATCCTGAACCTCCCTCATTCACAGGAGGACCACAAAGACTACACTGGTTCAAGCTGGCAGCTTCACCACCACCTTCTCAAGAGCAATCAGGAGCAGGCAATAAACGCTGGCCTCGCTAGACATACTTTGAACTAAAAAAAATATTCGTATGAAGCACAGTAGGTGTGGAACTCTCTCCCACAACATGTAGCTGGTGTGAACTCAATAAATAATTTTAAATCCAATATCAGTAGTCTTTTACTAAGCAATGGCAAAAATCGTGGTGGAGCCAAGGCAGGGAAATGGAGTTAATATAAAGTCAGTCACGATATCATTAAATGGCGGAATATGTTCCAAAGACTGAATGGTCCCCATGTTCCTATCCCCCACATCCAATAACAACCCCTCTTCCCAAGTGAGTATGTTTGAACACAGCAATTAATTCTGCAATCTACACCCTTCAAGGGCCATTTTCTACATTTTCCCACTCATTTCCCTGGGAACATTTTTCTAACTAAAGTCCATTTTAACCATCTTAAGTGTGACCTCGCAAGGCAAGTCCTTTGTTTTGGATTCCTACGACCGCGTCTTCCCTTCAAAAGTACATTACTGAAATTAAAACGCTTTGGAGATGCTGGGTGGTCTTGGAAGGTACTAATGCTGATCTTTCCCTCCAAGTTGACTTCAAAGTCATTCTCTATTGGTTCTGAACCACCTTACTGCCTCCCGTAGGAGATGCAGAATTAACTGACTTATTTAAAAGAGAGGCACTCACTCACTCACTCGCAAACTCATAGTTTTGAGCAACATGACTACCGGAATTTAACAGATAAATTTCTATCAAGGAAGGCCATCTAAATCTTTGTTACTCACTTGTTAAGCCACTGCCCATGTTTGGTACCATACTTAAGGAAGGATCCTAAAAGGCCTTACGTGGGGGTTGGGAAAGATTTACTAGAAGCAGGGACAATTTCAAATTTACGGAAAAATGGTTTTGGGGAGATTTGACAGAACCATTTAAGACCACAAAGGGGTGGACTAGACCATGAGCATGAAGGTCAGTAACCAGAGGGTGCAAAGTTAAGATAATTGAAAGAAACGAATAGACTGGGGAATGGACAGGTGGATGAAGAGATTTTACTTTATGTAGCAGGCTGAAAAGACTATGCCACCTGAAAGGGCAGTGGGAACAGATTGAAGAGTAACTTCAAAAGGGGATTGGATAAATACTTTAAAAGAAAAAGACTGCAAGGTGATGTAGAAAGAAAGAGAGGGAGATGAGGCTAATTAGTGCAAACAGCACACTGCACCAAGTTACCTCCTCCTGTGCTGTACAATACGTACAACTAAAACAAAGGGCACAGCAAGTTTGATGACAAGAGATGCAAGCATTCCCCCAATTTCTTCTCTCTCTCCACAACTTGAAATATTCAAATCAACTACTGTTCAGAGTTACTTACCAACAAGGAATGTTAAATAATGACTGTTTTACTATGGTGGCTGCAAACTCTTACTGTGCAGTGTCCTGGTCACACCACCTCGAGAACTGCATCTGGTTTTGGGTCACTGGAGCACAAAGGAAAGCATTGGCGGCGAGTGCAGAGAAAGAGGTAACAAGGCCAACCCCTCGAACGGATGGGCAGCAAACGAGACATGCCTTTAAGCCTTCAGCAAACATGTTAGGAACAGGGAAGGGACTTCACCCCTCCGCCGAATTCACGAGAAACCTTATTCCATACTAAACTCAATGGCCCCTGCCACCCATCCCGAAAAGCTGCTCCCACTGACACCTGGTGTTGAAATTGACACACACACACAGACAGACACACACACACAGACAGACACAGACAGACACACACAGACAGACAGACAGACAGATACAGTGACACACTCACCTTTCTGCACAGTGTAACCTGGGGGTCGCATGCAAAGACACAAGCGTCCGTCCACAGTCAGTCGAAGGATGCTGTTTGCTGCCCGGTACACGTCATTCCGTGCTGCTTTGGCCGTCTTATATCCCCTCTTCTCCGCCCAGGCTGCAAAGAGACAAACAACTCATGAGACGTCACGTCGACACTGATTCTCACTCTAACTCCGGCCTGGAGCTCATTATTTACACCAGACGCCAGGACCACCCCAAAAACAAAATTCCATTCTGTAGACGGTTTTCAAAGTAACCAGCCATCACCCCTTTTCTTCCCCGGCCCACAAACTCCCAGACTCCAGTCACCTTCACAGATGTCCCAGGCGGTGAACTTGACCTCGGCCTGCTCCCCAGGCCTGTCCTCCTCCGTTTTCGGGTGCTTGAGCTTCAGCAGCTTCGGCACAGGAATCCTCGCAGCCAGGTAACCGACTGAGGTGTAAGGCTCCTGAATCTGTGCGATCGGGTAAATCCCAGCCAGAATCTAGAGACGGAGAGGGATGCATAACTGCATTCTTCATAAAGAGACACATGACTCAGGGAGAGTGAACAGTCTGCGCATTTAAAAATGTTAAGTGACATCCCCATTTAGCTGTCACCCATGGCTCAGTGGCTAATTCCCATTCCTCTCAAGGCAGAAGGTCATGGGCTCAAGTCAAGTCCAAGAGATTCCAGCACTAAGCCTCGGCTGACACTACAATGCATTACTGAGGGTGCAACCCTCTTGAGGCTCTGAGTGTAATATCCCTACCTTTGAGCCGGAAGCACTGGGGTTGGATCCCACTCCAGGACTTGATGGCAAAGGGAGATTCGTTGATAATGTGGCTTTCCAATGGCGGGCAGTCAAAGTGGGAAATTTTCCTGGTTAATATTTTATATTCTGGGATACACAGAGTTCTAAGGGTTTGCTACATTAGATTGTCCCGAAAATTATTCAATGCTCTTTCTGCCTTAGATTAGGGGTGGGGCTAACTGCAAGATTTCCAATAGGTCACACAGGAAGCTTACACAGCCCATGAAACACGGTTCTGGGAGTTAGAGATGGGTGAGTGACAGCTTCTCTATGTTAGACAGAGCTGCTCTCAATTTTGCTGCTGAAGACAGCTGAGCTCTTTAGCTGGGTCACAAAAGTAGAGATTGCCGGAGAAACTCAGCAGGTCTGGCAGCATCTGTGGAGAGAAAGCAGAGTTAACATTTCAGGTCCAGTGACTCATCTTCAGAACCTGTTGCTGTCAGCTTGCCGAGTTTTTCCAACAATTTCTGTTTTCGTAGTGGATTTCCAGCATCCCTGGTTCTTTCAGTTTTTTTGAACAATGTGTTTTGTAGGTCTCAGGGGAGTCCTATACCAGTTAAAAAGCTTTCTGTCAACGAGGGGTTGGGGTGAAGGGCTTGAAAGAAGTGTGCGCACAATTAATAGTTCAGTGCAGCAAAAAGTCATGGTAAAAGGCCTACAAGTAGCGTTTGCTTGATGCAATTCAGCAAGCGTAGAGCCCAAGGAAGACCTGGGGGGCGTACCTAGCTTGGTGAAGTGAGCAGTCAGGGAGAAACTAAAGAGGTGCCTGTGAGTAGAGTATTGGGAATCCTGGAGAGCTTGGAGTCAGGAATGGAAGGTGATCGTTCCTGTTCAGTTCATTCATCAACCGTCATCATCATAGAATCCCTACAGGGTGGAAACAGGCCCTTCGGCTCAATGAGTCCACACTGATCCTCAGACATCCCATTCCCCTATAACCTACCTAATCTACACATCCCTGAATACCAAGGGCCATTTAGCATGGCCAATCCATCTAACCTGCGCATCTTTGGACTGCGGGAGGAAACCGGAGCACCCGGAGGAAACCCACACAGACACAGGGAGAATGTGCAAACTCCTCACAGACAGTCACCCGTGGATGGAATCAAACCCAAGTTCTTGGTGCTGTGTTGCAGCAGTGCTAACCACTGAGCCACCGTGCCACCCTATAACCAGACAAATTTGTCTTGAGAAGGAGTTTAATGCTTCAACTTTCAGAAGTGAGGAATTGTAATCCTTTATGAAGATTTATTGAGTTTTGATGGAGGGGGCAGTTACTGAGAAACCATGAGACCTGTCTTAATCACATTTGCTATTTGCTTTGTGCAGAGGGATGTTTGATCAGTCTGTTCCCCAAGTTTACCACATTCATTCTGGGGCTGGAAGTAAGGGGCACATATGGCAGTATGGCAATATGAAAGTATGGCAGATATTACCATTATAATGTGTATAATAAAGTCTAATATTGCTTGTTCAAAACAGTGAAATCTCAGGCTTTATTCTCTTAGGAAATCCTTCTGTCAAATTTAAAAGTAAAAGCTACTGGTCCCTAATCAGACCACAACATAATTCAGTGATCTCATTCTGGTCCTACTCATATTCCAGTTCAAAATGGAGGTCTGGTATTCTACATACATTTCTAAGTTTGACTGATTATTTTTAATAAAAGGAGAACTGAGAACGCTGGAAATTGGAAACAAAAGCAGAAATTGCCGGAGAAACTCAGCAGGTCTGGCAGCATTGTGGAGAGAAAGCAAGTTAATGTTTCGGATCCAGTAATTTTTTTTTTAAATAACTGGTCTGGGATCTTGCTCTGTAAGCCAATGTACAGCCTGAAGTGGTACAACACAGCATTAACCAAGTCTCTGGTTCATGATGTGCTATTCGACCACAGTGCCTGTTGGTACAGATTGCTACACTTACTTAGTACTCCTGGGCTGGAGACCTAAAGGAACAAGCCGAGCTTTGCTGCTACTTACTGCCATCTAGTGACATCCATTAGAAAACACTGGCAGCCGGCAAAAGGCTCAGATCTGAGCAATGACCTAACAGCTTACTGACCAGATTCTCTCAGGGAGAATATATCAGAAAACAGATTCCCTTGCCCCAACAAAATTGTGTGCGAGGAAAGAGATTTTTTTTTTTAAATATAAAAAAAAGACGAGTAAAAATAGAAATTAAATCAAATTCAGGAATGGAAAATCCATTTCTCAAAACATTGCTCAGACCTGTAACTAACTCCATAGCTGCGTGTTCAACTCCCTCCCTGGCCTCATCCCTCCCCATGTCTGGAGCCTGCAACAGCTCAATGATCTTTGAGAGCTCATAGCTCGTTTAATCCAGCCCTCCACACCATCCCAAACTGCATTATCAACCGCCAAGGGTGGAGGGGGTGCCTTCAGCTGTACTGACCCCCAAGCACTGGAATTCCTTCCACCTCTGGACTTTGCTATCCTCCTTTTAAAGGCCTCCTCAAAACCTGCCTCTCTGACACCTGTCCAAATAACCTCTTACGTGGCTCGGTTTCAAGCCTTTGGTCCACAACATTCCTGTGAATCAGCTTGCACGATTTCCTTAAAAGTACAAGTTGCTGCTGCTGTCTTCCTTGAATGCACCAGTTAGCCCCACGCCCTCTTCTCTCACCCAAACTCAAGCACAGGGCCGTGAAAGCTGACCTGCTGCTGACGGTCCACCAGCGACGGAAAGATGAGGCCAGGGCAGTCACACAGCTTGACAGTGGGAGTCAGGAAGTACGTCTGGAAATACTTGGTGTGGCCTGGGGTACGGGACACACTCACCACCTTCTTCCCCACCAGACCGTTAATGAGAGATGACTTGCCCACATTCGGAAACCCTGAGGGAGGCAGGAGAATAAAAGAGGGGGGAGGTTTAGACCCTGTGTAAATACACAACAGGTGAAAGACGACAAACTCTCTGCTTCCTAAAAAGAAAACATAAAATAAAAGTACAAAACAACAGCTTGACAAATTTCACCATTTGTGTCCTTTTCCACATCTCCATCTTCAGATTCGGAGTATCCTTCTACATCTGATCACTGTAAAGTGTTACCACACCTGTGTGTTTTTTTTTTAAGTTAACCTATTTTTCAAATCAACCTGTTCAGAGATTTATTACATACCTCTGGAGCAGGTGGGACTTGAACCTGGGCCTCCCAGTGGCAGGGGCTTTACCTCTGTGCCACATGGGACCCTGGTCCCTCAATAAGGGACATTTCTGATATTAAACTGATAAGCAATAGATTTCCAGCAGCACTGCCACCTGCTGGCAGCTCTGGTCTCCTGCACCAAATTCACTTAGAAAAATGGAGCACTTAAAAGCAAACTTGCCACTTTCGGCCATTGTCGTGACCCCCCAACAAAAAGCCACATACAATTAATCAGTCACGTCAGCTCACCCACACAGCCCACGGTGAGGATGCCATCTTTGTACAGCTCATCCACCGGCACGCACATTTCCATGGCGGAGTCTGTCTGATGCTCCACCAGGACCGCATCATCTTCGTCCTCCTCGTCAGTCAGGTCTTCGTGCTGGGTGTTTGCCGCATCCCGCTCCATCTTCTCCTTCCAGCTGGTCAAGTCCACTAGCAAGATTCAGGGAAGCAATTACATAACTGTAGAGGGAGAGGAGCCGGAATACGAAGTGGCAGAATGTATGGGCAGAGCCATTGAGAGCCAGGGCTGGACTGCATCTGGAATAGCTACTGGGGCCACTCCATCCCCGTGGGATATATAGTGCCCTCAGAGTGGATGCAGCACAGCCTTGGCAGGACGATATCAAGGCGGTTTGAGTTACAAGGACAGGTTGCATAGAGCAGCCCTGTATTCCCTAGCTTATAAAGGACTAAGGAGGGATCTAATTGAGGTGTTCAAGAGAATTAAAGGGTTTGGTGGGGCAGACAGAAAGGTGATAAGAGTGCAAGAAATAGGAGACTATTCGGCCCTTCGAGTGCACTACGCCACTCAATGAGATCATGGCAGGTTTTCTACTTCCGTAACCCTGAAATGTTTTTAATTAGCAGGCAGCTATCAGTTTGCTTGATACGTTGAATGACTGAGCCTCCACAGCTGCCGGGGCAGAGAATTCCGAAGCTTCACTGCCTTTCGAGCAAAGGAATTCCTCCCCACTTCAGTCTTAAACCACTCAACCCTTACTGAGACTGTGTCCCCTGTTTTTAGATCACTCCCTGAACTAGGGAAAACATCATTCCTGTCCAGCCCTCTAAGAGGTTTTCTGTGTTTGAATGTGATCACTTCTCATTCCTCTACACTCCAGAGACTGAAAGCCCGGTCTATTTATTTTTTTCTCTGGGTCGTTCCCAGTGATTTGTTTGTAGAAACTTCATTGTGCAAATATGGCAAGCATATAGAATCCCTACAGTGTGGAAACAGGCCCTTTGGTCCAACAAGTCCACACCGACCCTCAGAGCCCACCCAGACCCATCCCCCTATAACACACCTAATCTACATATCCCTGAACACTATGGGGTAATTCAGCATGGCCAATCCACCTAGCCTGTACATCTTTGGACTGTGGGAGGAAACCAGAGCACCCAGCGGAAACACACGCAGACACAGGGAGAATGTGCACAGACAGTCGCCCGAGGGTGGAATCAAACCCAGGTCCCTGGTGCTGTGAGGACGCAGTGCAAACCCACTGTGCCACTGCGTATATCTTTCCATATACGAGATCAAAACTGCATGCAATACTCCACATGTGGTCCCATCAAGACAGAACCGCAGTCAGACATTTTTAATCAAACCGTTTTGTAATAAAAGCCAACGTAACGTCTGCCTTAATTGCTTGCCAGGCATGCACGTTAACTTTCAGTGACTCATGAACAATAACACCCACCTGATATCAGGAAATGCTTCTTCACACAAAGGCCAGTGATTTAAGTTATAAGGAGAGGTTTATAAAATCATGAGGGGTATAGATAAGGTGAATGGCAGTGTCGTTCCCTAGGGTGGGGGATTTCAAGATTAGGGGGCATGCTTTTAAGGTGAAAGGAGAAAGATTTTAAAAAGACATTAGGGGTAACGTTTAAAAGATATTTAGATAAGTTCGTATGGATCTATGCCAAGCACAGGCAAGTGGAACTAGTTTAAACTTGGGATTATGGTCAGCATGGACGGGTTCAACCGAAGGGTCTGTTTCCGTGCTATATGATTCTAAATCTGGAACTCTGTCCCCCACAAAACTGCTGAGGTTGAAAATTTCACAACTGAAATTGCTAGGATGTTTGTTGGATCATGAGGCATGGGAACTAAGGTGGTAGATGGATTGAACATGGAGATCTATCAAGTGTTAGGCAAATGGTGGAACAGATGTGCGGGGCTGAATGGCCTCCTCTTCCAGTAAAGATCCCAGTAAGGTAAACAGGGAGAAATGGCTTCCAGCAGGAATAAGCTCAGTGGTCCAGAGTGGACAAGTTTATAGGAACGGACAGAAAGCCACGGTGCAGAGAATCTCTCTTTTAAATGACATAGTGAGTTATTATAAAATTCTCTGCCCCAAGAGGCAGTGAAAGCAGATTCATGAGGAACTTTGAGAAGGGAGTAGGATAAACAGATGAAAAGGGAAGGAGGTTGTAGGGCGGTGGGAAGTGCAGGGGGGCCACGGAGGGAGGGGACAGCAAGGAGCAAGCAGGAGGGAGAAAGACAAGAGCGTGGTCAAAGACAAGACTTTAAGAGAGGTTTCTGAAGGGCTTGTTTTTAAAACAAGGAAGAGGAGCAGTTCGAAATGCTCCATTATTGTTCTTTCCAAGTTGCCCCAACCTCTCAGGAGGTGGCAGGTGACCTAGAAAGAACTGCAAAGATCGGGATGTAATGACCAGTTCGAGCTGGTTAAGTCACACAGATCAAATCAAGTTCATTATGGAAATACTTGATCTCAGCCAAGGACCACACTAGGAACATTCAATCATCTGAAACAAAAGCAGAAAGTGCTAGGGAAACTCAGCGGGTCCAACTGCATCTTTGGAGAAAGGGCCAGAGTTAACATCGAGTCTCCCGGATGTGGAAATGTGATAGGTTTTATGCTGATGAAAGAGATCAGGAAGAACAAGTGGAACAGAAGCGAAGGTCCGCGAAGGTTCAAGGGTGAGGGATATTACGAGGCGAAAGTCATCACAGAACGAAAAGCAAAGGGAATGGTAATGTCTGCAGATAGACAAAAAAAAACATTAATCCAGCATTGCTGTTCATAGCAAAATAAAAGGTCAGGTTACTGAAAGCAATTTATCAAAATACTACAGTGGAAATGGACACTATCAGGACTGATATGCTACTACTGTACAATACCATGGTGCACAGCATCACTGCTCACGTGAGCAGGAACTCAGAACTCAGCTTCAGTGTGACCTGAAACTCTCAAATTTCATAACATCACAGCGATTTTAAGCACCACCTGAAGAAAGGTGTCAAGGCCCTGAGGGGGAAAGAGTCCAGTGGAATTTGACCAGGATGATACTATGGATGAAAGATTTGAGTTACGTGAAGAGACTGAAAGAAATGGGGGTGAATCTCCTTAAATCAGGAATGGATACGGGATGACTTAATAGGGGCATTCAAGATTACATGGGGCTTTGATAGAGTAAACAGGTCAATAACCAGAAGTAATTGATTTTAAATCATTGGCAAAAACAGACTACATCAGAAACTGAAATAACAACTTCTTCACATGGCATGTTGCCAAAATCTGGCGCGTAAGACCTGAAATCGGATTAGGCATCAAGACAAAAAACAGCTAATCTGCCGGGTTATCTGCTCTGACAAAGAGTTATCTAGACTCGAAACGTTAGCTTGCTCTCTCTCTCCATGGATGCTGCCTGACCCGTTGGGACCTCCAGCATGTTTTGCTCTCAGTACAGATCCCAGCACCTGCAGTAATTTGCTCCTAAAAGCAGGGCTTATCAGGGAAAAGCATGTGGCTAAAGTGATTGACTCCTTTAAAGAGATATGAGGGAACAGGACTGGTCTCCCTGGGCTGCAAGATGTGACAGCCATTATGAGATTGTATTGGCCCAGAGCGCTTCTGTTCCTTGTTTCAAGCCTCACCTTTCCCTTGTGTGATGGTCTCACAGGCTTTAAGGAGTTGTTTAGGCCCCACAGCCATTGTCCTGACTCGTCTCCGCCTTCGACGTTTCTGAAAAACTAAATTCCACAACAAACACTTGAATGAAACGCACAGTTCCACTGGCAAAGTTTTAATTAGTAAGAGATTGCACGTTTTGCAGCGTGTGAAAATACCATAAGGCATTTAAACTGACCATCAGGTACTGCGTCTGTTTCACATGCAGAGGAGTATGGGAGAAGAGATTAACTCTCTCTAGGCAGCCTGTTCCCAGTGGAGGGGATTAACCTCCTCACCCACCTCTTCCCCTCTGCTCCATTCACAGTCAGACACTGGGAAGCCTGTTCCCAGTGGAAGGAATTAACCCTCTCACACACGTTTCTACCCACAGCACCACCCCCACTCCCCACCTCTAATCACAGTCCAGTTCTCTCAGCTCAGGACAGAACTGTTTGACACGGATTTGTTGAGACAGTGTGAACATTGAATAGATGACGCAGCTCCATTCCTCCCAGTACAATGTGGTCTAGGTCAGATCAGTCTGTACGAGGCTCACTATGATTTAACACCACACCCATCACTACACCACTGGCAATAGCACAATCCCTCCCCTCCCCTTACCAGCACTCGGATCGGTCTCACCCGGTTTCTCCCGAGGGTATGACGTGAAGCACAGCACATGGAGCTGAGGGAATTTCTGTTGGAAGTAATGTTTCCAGGCTGCCACTAGCGACGGTGGAGCAAGATCAATCTTATTCAACACCAGGATAATATTCCTCTTCATTTCCCGGGTCACATAGTCATAGAGTGCTGGGGAAAAATGAATCACCTGGGGAGAGAGAGGGGAAAGAACTGGCTCAAGACAGAAAGTGGTACAATGTGGTACCAGGTATGTTGTCACCTCCGAGCTTAATCTCTCTCTCTCTCTCACACACACACACACACACACACACACACACACACACACACACAGAGGTTTGCGTGTAGTATATATTCAGAAATGCCTGGAAATGTATGCTCGTTTGTGTTTGTATTATGAAATATGTAGTTAACATTCCCTTATTAATCCATGAAGAGAGGAAATAAATTTAGTTTTCAGATAACAAACAGTCAAGAATAAACACAGGGAGACAACTTCTATTTATACTGCACCATTAACAAGGTAAAATACTCCAAAACACTTTGCAGCATTCACAAACAATATCAATACTAAGCTACATCAGGGAATAATGGGACAGAAGACTGAACAAAGAATAGACTTTAAGGAGTATCTTGAAAGAATGAGATAACGTGGCGCATGCGATCAGGGAGGCAATTCTACAGCTGAAGGTAAAGACAAGTGAAGTCATTTTCCAAAAGTGAGGATGTTAGAATGGCAGAATGTTGCTGGGAACGGAGGGGTCGAGTTATGAGGAGAGGCTGGACAGGTTGGGACATTTTTCATTGAAGTGTAAGAGGTTGAGGGGTGACATTATATAGGTTTATAAAATCCTGAGGAATACAGATAAGGTGAATGGTAGGTGTCTTTTCCCTAGGATGGGGATTTTCAAAACTTGGGGGCATATTTTTAACATGAGAGGAGAAAGATTTAAAAAAAAAGTGGTTCATGTGTGGAATGAGCTTCCAGTGGAAGTGGTGGATACAGGTGCAGGTACAGTTACATTGCTTAAAAGACATTTGGATAAGTACATGAATAAGAAATGTTTGGAGGGATATGGGCCAATGCAGGCAGGTGGGACTAGTTTAGTTTGAGATTACGGTTAGCATGGACTGGTTAGGCTGAAGGGTCCATTTCCATGCAGTATGACAACAAGAGGCTAGAATTAGAGGAGCATAGAGATCAGAGAAGGTTGTCAGATTGGAGGGCTTTACAGCAAAGGACAGCGATTGGAAAACAAGGACCAGATCAGTGAGCAGAGAAGCAATAGGTGAACAGTGTTCAGGGCGGGCTAGATTAAGGGAGCAAATTTGTGGATGAGCTCATGGTTAGCATGGATGCAACATTGGTGAAAGGTAAGGAAAGCCCTGGCAGTTTGGAAGGAGGACATGTTACAGAGGGGGAAGTAGGCAACACAAGAGCAGCTACTTATAGACTTACTAGGAACAAATAAGAGGAAGGCCATAATGAAAAACCATGGCTTCTCAACGGAAAGGCCATGAAAAAGAAACAGATACTACGGCACCACCTCACTGAAGGGAAGTCAACTCAGTGTGGGGAGGTCACAATGACAATTAAGTTCATTGTGCCACCTAGGGCAGCCATATGCATATTGCAGTGGCAGTAAGCAGAAAGTGACGACCACTCAATTAGGTGACATTAACATTGGCCAGGAAACAGAAAAAAAGTGATGGCGCTTAGAGTCCTTCGTCAAGTGGCGAGTTTATACATAGCAGCAGCAGCAATTACCCCCATCTTAAGCAAAGATTCAAAGCACCTTTTCAGGCCAAGCCTATCGTTCAGACCGAAGCTCCAACTTTGTAGTCCACTTGTAGTACGTACCGGGTGCCTGACGTCTGTGATCAACAGCACAATGTCGGACATTTCCAAGACTCTCCATAGCTGGCGCCAGGTCTACGGAATAGACAGAGCGGGAGAATTGATACAAAAACCACACAGGACACAGAATAAATAACGTGTCAGTATTTCCTGTATTGAGGTATCTCTAGACGTCTCAACTACAAAATTGTACAGAAATAAAACCACAGTACACAGTCTCCACAATCGCTCTACTAGCCACCCAAGAAACAATTCTCTCCCTGCCAAACAAAACCAAGAATCACCCACCTTCTGCAGCCTCCTCTTTCCCCACAGAACTAGATCCCCTCCATCCCCACCAACCAGACACCAGCCAACAAGCACACCTCCACCACCCAGGGCCAAGTGAGCAGCTCTAATCCCACCAGGTGTCACTCAACCAGCAACAGCGTTCAACTTGGCAATACCCAATTAGCAAACACCCCAGCACCAATAACTCCACTGTGCATCCCCGACGAGCTCACCCATAGCATCCCACATGATATCCCTAACTATTTCAGAACAATCACTTTCAATCTGCACTCTTATTCCTGCCAATCCCTCCTTTGGTGAGCGTTTTAAATTATTGCTCCGTCACTGACTCCCCAGACAGAGAAGTAGTCTTCCCCTATTCAGTCTCTCATTCACTTCACATTTCAATCCCACCTCATTTCACAATCACCCTCACAACCAGTGCACATAGCACCAAGTACATATCAACTTTCAATCTCATCTCATCTCCTCTCATTCGCGGATGTAAAATAATCCCAAGGCACTATTTAGGAGGTTGGTGAGGGAGGTTATTCATGACATCGAGACCTACTTAATCTCAATAAATATGAATATAAAGGTTCTATTTATGATCCATTACTTGGAACGTCATTGGTCACAAAGCACTTTGGAACATACTGAAATTGCAAAAGACACCGAAGAATGCAATTTCTGTCCAGCTTCTTCCACGCATTAGCAGCTTCCTACCCTAGCACCATCTGGGTGATTTACCTGTATCATCCACACTGCTCACCTCAAGGTTGTGCTCAAAGTAACTGAGCTTCATAGCATCAAATGTGCTGTAAATCTTATCCAAGTATTCACGGAATGCCTTGTCTTCCTGCACCAGCAGCTGCTCCTTTGTCATTGTGTAGTTCCAAGGGGAACGCTTTGGAAAGTCCAAGACTGAGAATGAGAGAGATAAAGAGAGGAAAAAAAAGGAAATAAAATCATCTAAAAAGTGCAACTGGAGAAAAGCACAGGGACAGCTTACAGCAGCTTTACTTGGTGAAGGTCTAACACTCTGCATCAGACAGGGGGCACAGGTTGGGTTTCTTCTGATAATCGCACAGCAAAAAGAACCTCTCTGGGAGGTAAACCAAGGGCTATAGGGGATATTCACCTGTCAAGTTGGGAAGTTCTTTTAAGTTTCTCCTGAACTTTGATTAGACCACACTGAGTAATACTGACTGTCAAATTATAAAAAAAGATTTGGAGGCATGGGGGAGATAAAGGATGCTATACAGATGGAGAAGATACATATTATCAAGGTAAGCTTTGCTTTAGAGTGGCTGAGGGGTGACAAAATAAAGGCCATTACTACCCTGAAAACTCTTGATAGGTTACAAGACTGGAGCCCATAAGTGTAAGAACTACTAACAAAGCTAATGCACAATTCGGGAGAAATCTGAACCATACTTAAAAGAATGTCAAAATGTTCTATCACATAAGAGTAGTTGAAGTGACCAGCATAGATCTGTGGTTCTTAAGCAGGGGTCAGTGCCTCCCTAGAGTGACAGACAAGGTTCTGAGCGATATGCTGCTCCCTGCTGGTTCTTCCAACACCAATCTCTCACCAAAAAAAGACAGAGCTCTTACTGACAGATCAATATCAACATCATTTGATACATGATCCAGATACCCCATCTCTTCCACCACGAGTCAACAACTCATTTGCAAAGCTAAAGATTGAAACTAAACTTCCAACAATATTAATTGTTTCAGTGTTTTGATCTGACATCAAATTTTATTTCACAATTGTGTTTGATTTATTGCTGTTCCTTCTCTCAATGCTCCCCAATGGCCCCATGCCTCAGAATGACGGAAGCAAACTGCTTTGTTTGAAATATCAACAAATGTGGAGGTGGAATTTTCAACACAGCCAGGATCTCAATCCTTCCAGCAGTCGGAAAGGTTTATACGCCATTTACCTGTCTGTACCCCTCATGAATGTGAAATTCTTTACCATAACACCCCTCAACCTCTTTTCTTCAAAGAAAACAACCCTGACCTCTCCAATGAAAAAAATAAAATGCAGGAGAAACTTAGCAGGTGTGGGAGTGTTGGCAAGATAAACTGAGTTAATGCTTTGAGCGTAATACGACTCTTCTTCGGAATTGGGACTACGCCAATCTATTTTTGTAACTAAAGTCCCTCACCTCAGGGTAATTGTTTTGAATCTTTTCTGAACTCGCTCTAATATCCTCACAATTTTTCCTTAAGTGTGGTGTACAGACCTGGAGCACTGCTTGATTGACTCTTCTTCCACCGTGCTGGGCACACTACTCCAGCTGAAGTTAAACATAAGTTTTACACAAGTTCAACATATTTGCCTTGCTTTTGAAATCCACATCCCCATTGATAAAGCCTTTGATACTGCACACATTATTAACTTTTAACTTTCCATGTCACCTGAACACCCAGGTTTCTAATTGCCAGGCTAAAGGCCAGTAAGGCACAAATCAAGGGTTATAAGGAAAAGGCACAAAAGTTGAGGATCATCAGGTCAACTATGATCCTAAATTAATCACTTCTAAGCACTTAATTTCATCTGCCACTTCCTTCCACCAATCTATACAAATTTTTGAACTTCTATATGGCCACGATGCAGAAGTTTTATATCGTCGATAATTTTTGAAACTAAAACTTGCACATTAAGGTCTTTAACATAAAGTAGCTGACAAGAGACAGCTGTATTTAAAGGGAAGGGATGAGAGTCTAAGGGATGTGGAGGTGCTGGTGTTGGACTGGGGTGGACAAAGTCAGAAGTCACAAGCCACCAGTTTATATTCCAACAGGTTTATTTGAAACCGCAAGCTTTTGGAACACTGCTCCATCATCAGATGAATCCTAAGGAAGGAAAGAATAAAGGACATGCTAATGGGGCTGACATGAACAGAGATTGGAGGAGATTTCAGAGGTGCATAAAGACAGCATAAACCAGTTAGCCGAGTGCCCTATTTTTCTGCTGTTGCAGTGTGTAAAGAATGCACTTTATAATAGAGTCCATCACAACCTCAGGATACCCCAAAGAACTTGAAACCTATTCAAATAACGTTCCAAGTGCTTTTAGCAATTTACAAACAATAAATAACTGAAAGAAGACCAAGGAATGACTTTTTTTTTGTCAAGTTGATTGAAGGATAAATATTGGTCAGGATAAAGACAGTTCCCTTGCTCTTCCACGGTTAGAGATGGGATCTTATAAGTCCACTTGAGATTGTGGATGGAACCTCAGTTTAATGTCTCACCCTAACAAAACACCCACGACATAGCCTTCCCTCCACAGCACACTGGTGTGCCAAGCTGAGATGACAATCCAAGTCTCTGAAGTGGAACTTGAACCTATGACTTAGAGGCAAGAGTGTTTCACTGAGCTATGGCTAGCTCCTAGGTAAGGGTAGATGGCAGGAGGGAGAAAGTCGAGGGCAGAAACACACGTGAACAAAAATTGCTGGAGAAACTCAGGAGGTCTGACAACATCTATGGAGAGAAAACAGAGTTAAGTTGCAGGTTCAGTAGGCCTTCTTCAGTCTTGGGTTGCCTGGTTGTGTCTAGTGACAGAACAGACATGGACAAAGCGAGTGGTCAGAGTGCCAGCTCCGGCAATGTTTATTGGACTTTGTTGGGACTACAACAACACTGTGCAGCACTGGACAGCAGGAGGTAGGGACGACATTAAATTAGGAGAGTCCCAAAGCAGATTTAACCGAGGCCAATTGAGAAAGTCGCTTGGTTTCCCCTAGGCTGAAGCACTTTAGGAGAGACTATTTCATGCAAAGCCTAAACTAAACTTTCTGAAGCCTGCTTCAGCACAAACACCCCCTCCCACTTCCCACCAAATTTCACTAAAACTTTGTCGCCACCACTTACCTTGTCATGTGGTCAATTTTCCTACAACAATGCCAGGTGACAAGTAGTAAAGCAGCACCATTTACATACAAACCTGGAAGATAGGAGCAGGAGTAGGCCATTCATCCCCTCGAGCCTCCGTCACGGGTGATCATTGAGCTCAATGCCCTGATCCCACCACACACTAGCCCCCCACATGCCCCGATTCCTTTAGCCACAAGAGCTATGTCTACTTCCCTTTTGAAAACACAATATTTTGGCCTCAACCACTTTTCAGGGCTGTGAATTTCAGTCTCTCTGAGTGAAGAAACTTCCCCCTCATCTCAGTTCTAAAAGCTTTATCCCTTATCCTTAAACCACGACACCTGGTTCTGTACTCCCCCACCATCAGGAAAATCCTTCCTGGATCTAACCTGTCTAGTCCTGTTATAATTTTATAGGTTTCTGTGAGATCTTCCCCTCATTCCTCTAAATTCCAATGAAAACGATCCTAAACTGCACACACTTTCATATGTCACTCCTGCCATCTCAGAAATCGATTTGGCAAAAATTCGCCACACTCCTATAACATCCTTCCTCAGATAAGGGGCCAAATCTGCACACAATATTCGAAGTGTGGCACCACCAATGCCTTGTATAACTGCAGTAAGACATCCCTTGCTCCTGCACCGAAATTTCTCACTATGAAGGATGTAGTTGAGAAATATACTGCACACTACTGTGAGATAGTACACTGAATTTTCATCCCTAGTCCCTGGATTTAAAACAGTTCAGAGTGAGAAGGGTGAAAATTTCCTCTGTTCTTTGAACAAAAAATGTTGATTCCCTAACTCCACACACCTTTGGGCACAACCCACAACATACATCACATACATCATTATCATTCATTGAAACTCCAGTGGTATTTTTTAACCAG